ACTGTTAAATGGGAGGGAAAGCTTGATAAAGGATTGGCATCTTTTTATACAAGAGCTTCCTGATGTGTTCTCATTACTTCATTAAATAAAAATACCTTAACATAATCCTGAGTTTTAGTAAAATTTGCTCCTGTCTTTCACAACAAGGGTATATGTTGAAATCACTGGTAGCATGGCCTGCTAGCTCAGTGTCTTGGAATAGTTTTGCAGATGAGCAACTTTCACCTCAGCTGTTAGCATCATGAGGGAAGAAGTAGGGATGAATTTTGATGGATTCAGGCAAGGCTAAAACAAAATGTGTTTTCTCTAGCAAACTATTTTCACCCTTAGGCTGCGCTTTCCAGATTCAGGATATGCTGTCTCTTACTTTAATGGATAGTTTGCCCTTTTCTTGGCAATAGAAGAACAGGATGCCTCGTATTCTTGTGTCTGCACAAACAGTCTTTCAAACTTTCAGCACACAAGTTTCTTCTGATGCAGCCCAGCTTGTATCTCATAATGCTTCCAGCTCTTGTCTAGGCACTGAAAGGGATAGTGTTCTGAAAACTGATGCAGTTTTAAAGGTCAGATCCCATAAAACGTTGTGATTCGTAGCCAATAATGTGCCTTCTGGAACTGCTTATTTAGTCTGGAGTTGCACCGTGGACTTTATCTTCATTTTGTCTGGGCTTCATCAAGTATTTGCTGCATGCAGTCACCAATAAAACCAGGGAAGAGCTGAATTTTGCAAGTGGCCTTCTGTAAGAGAGGCAACAGGTATAGATAGTTGTTTCTCAGATGCTGTGGGGCCCTATGGTGAGAAAGGTGTTCTCCTTCCCATTTTCTCAGATTTTAGTTTGATCCAACAGTATGGAAGACAGAGTTCTGGCTGTTGGAATACGATTGTGTGATGCTCAGAAACATGAAGATACTTGTAGCATTATACTTGTCAAAGATACTTCTAGCTCTTTCTTCCTGTTCATCTGTGTATTAATCCAAGCAGAGCCTCAGAGGCTGCAGCCACAGGACTGGCATGGGGATGGATCATCTTGAACCCTAATAAGGTATAACATGTACCCAGCTAAGTGGCAGGTTACAGCCACTAAGCAGGTCACCCCAGAATACCAGGTCAGTGTTAAATACCTGGTTTTGTTCTTCTGAATCTACCTTGGATCCTTGTAAGTGTAATACATAATGGAAGAGAAAGGCTCACCCTCAGTTGCTGGTAACTGATAGGTTTTCATTGGCCTTGTGACAGATAACAGCCTCCTACAGAGTCTGGCTTTGAGCAGATGTCACCAGTTCTCTCTGCATGTCCCTTCAGCATACAGATAGCAATCACCCTCCATCTGCCCTCCATGGCATGGCTGTCCACAGCAGGCTGCTTTTTCCATTGGTACCCATAACAGAAATGGACTGTACTCATGCTGGACTATACTGTATTCATGCTGGAATATGCACATGGGGCTTTATTTGCTTTTACTTTTTTGTTATTAATTTCCAAACCTCCACTGAAGGCCCAGGCTGTGAATCCCTTGATTACAAAGAGTAATTAATTGATCAGATCTGTTTTCTTTTTGTTGTCCTGTGGGCTGAGAGATAATGATGTGCAATGTGAGGGATATTCCTGCTAGAGATAGGATTTGCAGAAATACTATCTGTGGAGTACCACCTGACATTCAGTGAGCAGGCTGCCTGCTCTAGCATTCCCCACGCCATGTGCATGTATTTTGTGTTCTGTATTTTATGGTGTGATCAAAACCAGTCTTTGGATAATGTTTTAGTAACTCCTATTTCTCATTGTTCTTACTAGCAGCCGTAACATTTGCAATATCAGTCTGTGGCAGGAAGCAGGTGTCCTTTTTAAAAGGAAATCTGAACTAATTTAGAGACCACAGAAAAGGACAGCTTGCAATTCACATTGCAACAGTCCTGCAGAGAAAACAGGCTACAAGACAGATGCCGATTTATTTAAAATCAGACAAACAAAAAAACAAGTATTGTGTTTTTTCTTTCTCTCCTTTTCTTTGCAAACTTAAGGAATGTGTTCAAGCATCTGGCTAATTCACATACCATTAATTCTCTAAAGATTACATATGCACACCTAATTAAACCTGCATAATTTGTTTTAAAAATGAATGTACTCTCATATTTATATTTTTATAGCTGTGCCAAATCCTTAAAGGGCATAGAAGGGAAAATTTTGTAAGAGAAATGTGCAGTAGTCCTTTCCCTAGAAAAGCTGGAAGTATCAGTAGGGCTGTACCTAATCTTAGTTACAAAACTGTAGACACACTGTTTTGGCTACTAGTGAATGGGTAAATGGCTTTTTAAATACATGAATGAATGCTTGTTAGAAAGCCTGAGATACAGCCTGTCTTCAAATGGGAGCTGGCAGAGTGGGCAGCCCTCCTGATGTGTGAGGTCCTATTGTATGGCAGCAATATGACTAATCTTCCCTTTGCCTCTGGTTTGTGGGCTGCAGCGAGTTCCTGCCAGCTGTGCATCCTTGAGGATTTAATAGTCTCCAACAGCCACAAGGACATGAGAGCCTGATGCTGATGGCACATGTCTCCTCTTACTCTTGTGTGGCTCTCCACCAGCTTAGCTCTTGAGGCCAATACCACTCAGAAGAGTAATTTGGGTCTTGGCAAGCGGCGGATTATCATAGCCTTCTTCAGAGGATGGATGTGGGGTGGGAAAAGCTAATCTGTACCCTGACCCCCGTTCATCTCTCTGGGGCCTGAGTGCTCAAGGCACTGAGATCCTTAGCAGCAGTGACATTCTCCACTTGCTCTCAGCAGCAATTCTGCAAAGTCTGCTAACCAGCAGTGGAGAGGGTGGTTAGTAGCCGCCTGCTTTGTGTCAGGCTCTCCTGGAGTAGAGTTGCCATGGAGATGGGTGGGAGTTTAGCGGAGCAGGGAGCTCGGCGCTTTGCCCTTGTGCGTGTAAATCTGTCTGACATGTCATGTGCATCACATTTGGCTCCGCTGCTCACATTTGAGGTCCACTGGATTTTCTTGCCCGATTCCCATGTAGGAGAGCTGAATAACTGCCATGCAGCATTCGTAGCTCTGTGATATTAAAAAAAGGCAGAACTGGGATTGGTGCCTGCTCTTCCAGGGCCAATTTAAAGCTAAATCTGGACACCAAAGGATGTTTAGAGCAGGTATCTAAGCCCTGTAAGATGGAAGGAACTTTCCCAGGCTGGAGCCTTTCTTGTGACAGCAGTAAGCATATTGGCTGTCTAAAAAGAGAATTATGTAGAGGCAGAAACAGAAATCCTACATTAGGGAGATGTTGGAAGGTGGAATCTTCCCAATTAATTTTAGAACTTGTGAAGCAGATTAAAATATGGGGGGAGAGTGCTGAATATAAATAAATGTCTGCTTTACACTTACAAAGGGTGTGCAGGCTCCACGTACTCAGAAACATTTCTGGGAAAGCATCAATTAAAATGTTTGAGACTGACAAAAGGCTTCCAGGCTGTTGAGGTAAATGGTGACTCATACTGGCCAAGAAGCAGGAAGGAAAAACATTTAATGGCAGCGCCACCCCAAGCTGTACTCTGAAATGAGGCTTCCCAGGGGTGTGACCTGCAGACACTGGATTTGAGCCAATTTCTGCTGATCTACAGCCATCAAAGGTGAAGAGCCAAAGTATTTTTCAGTGAATTTGGCAGCATGCTACTGGGTTTTTCGATGCATGTGGGTTTGCATGGTGTTATGGAGAGAAACTTGACATATTTCTAATTTTAGAGTAAGAGGAAACAGCTGGGTGGTGAAAATATTTGGAAGGAAGGGTTAAAAAGTTGGAAACATTGAAGGAGGACAGAGAGGGAATAGAGTGAATGCAGAGAGGGATCTTTGAACACCACTTGCTTCAGTAGAAGCTAAAGAGTCCTCCTGAATATACTGCCTGGGCCGTGGCATCAGTTTGAGATGGGAACAAAGTTTCTGCTGTGTTTATCCCAGGGAAAGAGGACTGGTCTTTCCAGCATAAGCTAAAGCTTGTGCATCTCGAAGACTGGTGTGAGCCTGTTGTGTTACTGGAAAAAGGCCTCAACACATGCTTCAAAAGCATCTCCTCCTCCTCCCCCAATCTCCTGTACCACTCTTAACAATTTAATCCATAGCAGTTTGTCTTCACAGGCTGTAATTGATCTGTCTGTGATTTAGCTCATCAGACACTCATTAAGGAGTTTGCAGCCTTTTTTTATTCATGAAGAGTGAGACTCAAGGATCTAAAACCACTTTGTCTTTGTTTTAACTGGATTCATTTAGTATTCTGGGATTTGGGATGGCTAATAAACTTAAACGAGCTATTATTTAAAGGTGAGCTGCCAAGTGAACATGAAGAATGATCCAAACGCTGGCAGTGTGCCAGTGGCTCTCTCTGGTCAGGTGTCAGGTGTGAGCAGCAGAGGGAATATTGGCTAAAACCCCAGATATTCCTCACAGCTCTGCAGTGGGTGTCCCACAGTGCCCTGCCCATAACTGATGGGATGATCCAGCTTGCAGGGGAGCTGCTGGAGCCGTGTCTGCAGTGAAGATGCCATTTTGTGCTAGTGATGTCAGTGGGATACACAGAAATGTTTGGTGCATTGTGTAGAGTTTGAGCTTGACATCTGGTTTTCTTTACTGGGGCCGCTATTGTTCCGAGCTGCCGCCTGTGCTTGGGCAGTGTTCGTAAGGATGAGCACTTCTCACGTTGCTGGCACACACAGCTGAGGAAATGCCTGTCCAGGCCTTTCACAGGGCAATCTGCAAAAGAGAACAATACCTCTGAGCTGCAGAAAGCAGTTTCCTTTCCCCACTGCTTTAATGAACACTTGAGGCATTTCCAAGCTGTAGGAAGAGGAGATGGGAGAGATGGTTCTCCATTCTGCTCCTTCCTGAGCCTGGCTCTGCATGCCACACACATCCAGCAAGATGAATAATTCCCTGTAACTTGAATTTACTGTGCAGTCATACGTGTGGTATCATCACATTGCTTGTGCCTTGGATGTCACGTAGGGGGCTATGGCCGCCATGGACTCTAAAGTTGTCCGTGGTTTTAAGGCAGCAGCTCTGCCAGGGAACACATGCAGCTGGATCCTGGGTCTGTGCCAAATGTACTGACTTGTTTGGGAGCTGTGGGAAGCTGGTGGGGCCCCGCAGACAAAGCCCTGAGTGAGGCATCTGAATCCTGGCAGGACACGCTGCCATTTACGTGAACCGACTTCCCGCTTGCTGTGCGTATCTGGATTGGGAAATCTTTGGGAATATAAACTTCTCCTAGCTGCTCGGAGTCACAGTATTTATAAATACTCTAAGCTTTATGGCTATAAATCATCCTATGTAAATATTAATACCATATTTTTCTTTCTTTGTAGTGTACAGAGGCCAAAAAGCATTGCTGGTACTTTGAAGGATTATATCCTACATATTATATGTAAGTAGTCATTGCTTTTCTTTTTCAAAAGAGAATTAGATTCTGTAGGCTCTTAGACTGTTACTCTTTTACTAGTTATACTTTTTCTATAACTCATCTGAGACTTTTGCAAAATCAGAAATGAAGATGCAGTAAAAGTGTACAGATTCATTTTGCCGCACACCCTAGATGACCTTTCCAACTGAAAACAAAACTCAAGTACTTGAACAGCTCTTATTTCAGAACACTGAAAGGAAACATAAGTAGACCAATGTAAAGACAGTTCTCCCTTTGTTTTGAACAAGGACAGGTAATCAGACAGAATACCTTGAATGCTTTGGAGGTAACTTTGTCCCTGTGCTAGTACTGTTGTTTAATTTAGGGAGTTGAGATCGTTTGTTATCCATGGCATAACTGTCCTTTTGATGAGTGGCATCTGCATTCACATCAAGCTTGGGTATGAACCAAATGTCAGTGACCTGTAGGTATGTGACTGAGGATCTCTCTAATTGCGGTTTTCTGTTTCAGATTGCCCACAGCAATGGCAAAAAAAGTGGAGGAAATATGTGGATGGGAGGTACATTCATTGTGGGTTTGGGGGCAGAAAGGAGATAAACGTAGTAAACTTTCTACCTGGTTGTGTAACTTTATAATTGCAAACAACTGTAAACATAAGTTAGAAAAAAAAAAAAAGCAGGGTGGAAAAGCATTAGGTTATCTGTTCCCTGAGCAAGCTCTTTCTTGCTGAAGGATTGGAAATTATTGTAATCCTTATGCTACCCAAGAGCTTCCCTCCCTTTTCTTTTCCACCTCCGCTTCATCTGCCAGAAGGAGGAGAGAAATGCTAGAGACAAAAAGCAGCTAGGAAGCCAGTTGCAAAACAAAGCCCACAGAAAGAATGAAACACCATGATTTGATCATCTGTGATCCTGGATATTAACTGCTTAGGAAGTGTTTGTGCCTAGAACTGTCCTTTTTTCAGGTGACTGAAATGTGGAGAGTTACTCATAAGTGGTTGGCCAAAACAGATGGGGGAATTTAAATAAGTTCATTTTCTTTGCATGCTAATAACAATGGGACTTTGGTTACACCTACATTTTATTTTGCTTTTCTGCAGTGTGAGAAAGAAGCTGGGATGTCACAAAATTACAAAAATCCGCTGCACCTTGACATTCAGGAGTGTGTTATTCATCATCACCTTGGTGTTTTGCTTAGGTTTCTGCCCACGTGATTTTACAGATAGTGTTTGTCTCCCTTGGCAATACAAAGGGGTGGCTACTTGGAGCTTGGGTATCGAGAGATTGGGTTCAGATCCTTTGTGTACATACAGATTCCTCCAAAAAAAAGGGGGCTAAAAAAAAATCCTGTTCTTTATTGACACTGTCAAGTCAATCAGAAGACTGTCACTGGTCATCCTGTGTTTTGTGGTAGTTACTGCAGCACCGTGTTAGCCAGGTCATTGCATGGAAGTGTCATGGTTGCCACTCTCCTGAATAATGGAAGTCAATGGAAAAAGGAGGGGGGAAGGGGCAGGATGTGTGTGCTTAGCAGTTGTCCCAGGGATGATGAGTGTCCTGTTAATGCTAATGTTTTTGTTGTGATTATGAGTTTAAGTGGGCAAGAAGAAACACTAGGGAAAGGCGATAAGGATTTGGGGATGGTAAAGCTCAGAGCACAGATACTATGTGTGACAAGTGAAGGAACAGGGAGAGAGTATTTGAGTGCACAGCCCAGCAGGGTTAAAGGGGGGATGCATCAAAGCAGTAGGAAGGTCATGCATGTCTGCAGTGCCTGGGCTGTTCTACTTTGTTACTTCTGCAATGTCAGTTTCTGTTGTTCAGGGTCCCCAGCTGCTTCCTACCTGTGCTGTCTTTTCACACCTCTGTGGTGGAGCAGAGGCACAACTCCAATCTCAGTATTTTAGGGCGAAGTCCCATTGCTTCAGCACTTGTTTGACCCTTCACTGAATTAATTCAATTTGCTAATCCCACAGAAAGTTGTTCATTTTAGCACATTTGAGCCAGTGTTGAATCAGCTTGGTATAGTTTTTGGCAAACACCGGTGAAATGGGAGGAAGGGAGTATTCTGCATATTGTGGGGGAGGAGGCATGAATAGCATAGTCTCCATCAGCATATGGTTACATGTTAAATTATCTAAAGGCATCATGCATAACTTTGTCCTGAGAGTGCCTCCTCTGTGCGAATCTGGATCTGGGATGTGCTCTAGTGAAACGGGTTTTATTTTATCTTACCATTTCTGTAGCAACAGTCCATACCAAGCAGATATATTTAGATTTATATTTAAAGGAGTTTGCAGTAGATTCCACTTGTTTCTATCACTGATTTTGTGAACAGACTTTTTTCTCCCCAGCTAATGTATGTAGTCTCTCCTTTTATCTCGAGACTATCTTTGGAGACTTACGAAAGCCAGCAATGCAATCCTTTTTAATGATTTTCCTGTGATTTCAGTCCCATGCTGGCACTATGTCACATCTCCAACGGAGACAGTTGGTATTATAATGAAAAGGTTGGCATGTCAGCTCAGAAATGCCAAGTGCTGAGTCTATTCACAAATACAGTGTGGCATGCTGGGACAGAGGTATCCCTGAACTGGCCCATCTACAGCCTTAGCACTTCTGGGTAGGCACGTCCTCCTGGAAGGTGCCTGCCTCGCTTTAAATTACCCAGAGCAATAGAAGTCTGGTGGACTGTCATATAAAGTGGTGGTTTGCTTTTCTCAGAAGTTTAAAGGCAAGATAGCTGAGTTAATCTTTCCTGTAAAGGCTCTACTTCAGCCATCCAAAGACAGATAAGAATGTGTCTGCTAAGCCAGAGGAACAGTGTGCCAAAAGAAGTGTTCTGGAAATTCTGTTAGATTTGGGTGGCTAAAACTTGCAGTAATATGACAGTTCCTCTTTTGGAGCTTAATTTTTTTCAGTGGTTTTTTTATTCAGTCTGCCTTCCAGCATAATAATTTTAAAAAGAAAAATCTTTTAGAGATACTGTTCAAAACTTTCTTAAAACTTGTCTTTTATGCTTTCCATCTTAACAGCTAGGGCAAAGGTTGAAGATCACAGTTCCAGAACTAATGATACATCTTTCTGTCCAATTATTTAATGGTATTAGTATTTTTTAAAAATAATATTTTCCAATAAAAATAGTTATTCCATCCTTCATATATCATCAATAAGCTTTAGTTTAATTCAAGCATATTTCTTCCAAATGTAATTCCATTTCTTAAGGCTAGACTGAGAAATTGATAATTTTCCAAAATCTTTTCCCTCTCCTATGAGAGTAAGGTACAGCGTATTTCTGACCAGAAGTGAACATGGAAAGTTTACCAAGAATTTGAGAGACATATGCTGGTCTTCTGTCCTTAATACAGACAATTTCAAAGACTGCGCTTAACTTATTTCCCTAACCCATCCAACCATTTGTCCATGTCCTTGTTGCTTGAGTCACCAGAGACTCTTGTCAGTTAGATACTTTTCTCCTACTTCAGCAAAATGTTTTTTAAATGTGACTTAGAAAAATAAGTAAGCAAATATAAAGCAGGGAAAGGATTTAGTCATCGGAGTCTAATTCTTATCCTTTGGAAAAGCAGGGAGCCAAGTTGTTCCTGAGTTTGCTTAAAGAATTAGATCATACGTCTCCTTGTGTGGATGCACAGAAAGTGATTCAGAATTTAAAGCTGTCTCAAGAGACTCGACTGATGCTCTACAAGCATCCTCATCCCACTCTCACTTAAGTAAGCCAGCTCAGCCTTATCTCAGATGTGCTGATGGTTGGCAGAAGAAACAGTCAAAGTACTTTTCTTCCATGGCAATGATGTGAATAGTAACATAGAGAATGCATTGGATTGCAAAACCACCTTCCCTGTAGGCAGATGCCAGCAGCACTTAAGATACTCCAGTTGTTTTTCCATTTCTAAGTTGGGCATGAATAGGAGAGGGAAGGCTGCCTTATGCTTTGCTGATGAGTAGTAGTTTGATTGGAATGATTGTGGATGTCTCCTTCACTGCAGAATCAAGTGTATTTCCTAGTATGACTGATCAGTCCCGTAGGTCTTTTCTGTTTATTTTTCCTTCAGTTGTTAGCTACCATCATACTGGGGCATTTAATGAGGTGATAAATTCCAGATGCATGTTTCTAATCCTCTCCTTGCCAGGCTGCATGGCATATTTATAAAACAGCAGGAATGTTTTTGAGTGTGAGCAGTAGGCTTGTGTCCACAGCAATAGATATGCCACGGCTGGTGCCACTGGGTCAGTGAAGGACTCACCCACAGGGAGGGCACCCATTATCCCCTGCCCTCTGAGCCTCACCATGGTGTTTCTGTTTGTTTGTTTTTTGGGGTTTTTTAAACACATCTAGCTGCCTGCCTGTCCAGGCTGTAAGGTGTGCACTTGGTTATGAGAATGTTGAGGGAGACAGTGTGGAAGCCATGCTGAAGCTGGGGTAAATGACATCTCCCACTCCCTGGTGTGTCCACAGATGGCTTCCACTGCCATTGTAGTGGTGGAAGCTCTTCTTGCTGCACTAGGTGTCCCTTCCAACTAATAGGTGTAGGTGAGATTTGGCTTTTCTAACATCACACCTACTTGTGTATGTGAAGATTTCAAAATGCCTCCTTGGTAGCCTGTATCATCTTCTGCCTCCTAAATACTGAATTTTTGCATTTGAGTTCTGCTCTGGGTTCCTTGTCTTAGGTAGGTCTTGGCTTCTCAAAGGTATGCTATTAGGTGAAAGACCTCCAGAAAAAAACATGAACTTTTTCTCTGGAAGAAAGTGTTAACCATTGCTGTTGGTAATTATGTGAAGCACAGAACAGAAAGGACGGGTATCTCTTATTACCTTCTATTTCTTATCCAAAGCAGGATCTGAATTAATGTTGAAAGCAGGTGGAAGTGCTATATTTTTAGGGTAGTGTATTTTGGCTAAAGTTTTATTTTGGCCATAAAAACCAGTTTACTGCATACAACAGACAACTGCACATGTACACATTTGTGTTGATGAAATCTGTTTAATTTTTCATTTAGAATTAGTATAAGAACACTAACAGACACCTAAATGAAGGATGTTAGGTATTATTCTTCATGTTTAAGACATGTTCCTACCCTGCATGGGAAGAGTAATTTATTTTTCTTATTGTAGAGAAGAATGAGGAATATATTAAATTTGCAGTTTTTCAGGGATTTTGAAGTAATTTTGTTGTGCATTTTCACATGCTTCTCTTACTTTGCTGATGTTAAGTTTTGTTGTATTTGTCACGCAGCCATACTCATCTGGCTGGTTTTGAATGTGAGTCCTTTTATTCTTTGTGATCAGTCCATAATAGTTCTGTGCATTATCAAGAACCTGCAAAATGTCCCAGGTGAAAACATTAAAAAGTGGTTTTTTCTTGCTGTTGCTCAGATAGCTCAGAGGGCACTTCTTCCATCAATGTATGTCCAAGAGGCTGGGAAACCACCCCAGTCCAGACACTGGGAGTGTTGCATGATGGTGGCTATTGTCTGTGCTCCACATCCTGTTGTGTTTACTGCTGTTAATTAAGTTGGCTTTCTGATGGTACACTTA